GACTATTTTGTTCTTTACTATAGTTTCAACCAGTTTGTCCGGTACTGTAGTCAGGCTTACCGGCCTGTAATTGCCGGGGTCACCTCTAGAAAGATACATTTCATAGAAATGTACCTTTAATGCCATCATAAATATCATTTCACAATAAAAAATTTATTGGAAGTTTTTGTTATTCCCCCAAACTTTTTTAAAATACACAAATATTTTTGCCTTTAAGCATGTTTCATATTTACATTTATGGATTTCATATTAAGCATGCACATGTATAATGGAGGTGGGCTCCAGAGGCTGTGTGTGTATATATATATATACACACACACTAGTTTGTATTTTTGGGCTGTGGCTGTTGCTCAGTATAGGTATAGGAATTTGACAGCACTGTCTTGCCATCCAAGTTACTGTTCCTTCAGTTCTTTCCCCTCACTTATGTCATGGCAACCACTTCAGTGAGCTGCCCACTCATCTGGCAAATCAGGAACCAAATTATTATGGTTTCTATCAAATTTTGTAGTCTCTATAAGGCAGAAGGGTCTGCAAGTGAAATTCCTGCAAATTATTAATATAGAGTGCTGATTTCAGTTCCTCATAATCACTGCCTCTTTCCCTCCCCCCTACCCCCTGTCGCTGCCTTTTACATGTCACATTTTGCATAGCTGCTTTTCCGTGAGGTGGCAGCAGCGGGTTGTTCTTGTTCTTGCTCAAGGCTGGGTCAAGACTGAACATGTCCTGGAGGTAGTGCAACCCTTTTTAGGGGCAATATATTTTTACCACTCTCCGAAAGCCCCTGTTGGCCAGTCCAAGAAGTTCCATTGGCATGAGTTAGAAGCTGAGCTTTAAGATGTATATTGCAAGGACATTAACTGCTCTTAATTAGAGAATAAAAGCCCATAGCAAAATTTAAAAAAAAAGTAACAAACAATGTAGCATGGTATTTGTCATACTCTATTCTCTACTCTATTCATATTCAACCATAAGCAATGAGAATGGTATTTGAGTGCTGATTGGTCATAGAATGGAGGAAAAGGACTACAATTAATAAAATTACCAGTAACTGTCTTATTATAGAAAGTGGAGAGACTCAAAATGTGCAGGATAAAATATAATTTGATTCACTTTTTATAAAGACATTGTAAGAGTTAGGCTTCAAAACTGATTAAACTAAGGGATAATGGACTGTTGATAGCACATCTTTTTGAAATAAAATACAACCCGCCTGCACGCTTGCTAAGAAAATAAAAACAGAAAAATAAATTAGTTGTTTACAACTGTGCTTTAATTTTTTTGGTGTTGCACAGACCTCAAGCAAAACCCAGAAATATTGTTGGACATACATGGTGTGTTTGTGTGCACAAAAACAAAACAAAAAAATAAGCCTTTTTGTTGGCTGTATTCAGAGGGTTTGAGGTTTTTTAGAGTTCTAATAGAAAATCATGTACAATGGAGTGGAAAAAGTAATTATACTGTATATTTTAAAAGTACTTAAGTGTCTTTAAAACAAAACATATTCCAATTACGCTGTCAGTCACAGAAAGAGGAAATGCATTCTGTTACAGGAAAAAAATCAAAAATAGAAGCATGAGTTTATTAAATAGCATGTTTCGGGGTACAAATTGTTCATCTGTATAGCCTCTTTCTGTTCTTATTGTGTGAGGAATTGGATTTGATATAGCAAGATACATAGTTTATATAAAGTTAACTATGCTTTTTAAATGGACTCTAGTGAACCTACAACGTTGTTTACTCTATTTTGGGCTGTTCTCTATAGTTTACACTCCGGAGTGTGTTTCTGGCACTGCTATGCAAACTCAGGAATCATCTGACATATCCAATTCTGAGATACTGTGAGCACCTTGACATTGTTTCCTTTTCCTTGGAAGCTCTGTGAACTTTATTCCCCTCAGTTGTCTTTTTCCATTGTTTTTAAGACATTAGGACCCCAAAAAGTGGGTTAATGGATACTTCTGTAGTTTTAGTAAGGGTGTTTACCCATCATTTAGTTTGGACATCGAATTTTTTTCCCCCATTTTCTGTGCTAGAAGCAAGAGCTAAAAAGGTCCACAGCCTGCGCTTTGTATGCTCAGTCATTGTCAGGGACTTGTCTGTAGGAAAACTCTCTTGTCTATGGGAGGCCTGAAAAGAAAGGAAGATTTTGTTATTGAATTTTGTGCTGGTCAGTTCAAGAGCACCCTCTCACAGCCTGGCGCCTACTGACTTCAGAGCCTTAATCACCTAACATTAAGTACTGCTTCAAACCAATATTAAAGTTAGCTTTCTCTCAACACTCTTTCCTTTTTCTTTGACTTGGGGACTGGAATAGTGGCTGTCTAGCTTTCATCTGACCACAGTAGATAATGCTTGAGTACTGTAAATTTGTTGCCACAATAATCACAAGTAAGATATATCATGAAGGTTTGAAGATGCATCTCTCATTTTCAGTTTGACTACTGCCTGTGTACTCTGTTTCAGTGTAGCTTTTTAGATTTGTATATTGAGGATCTTCACAATATTTGTTCAACTTTCGTTTTAACACTCCTTAGTAAAGTTAATGTTATAATGAACCAATTGCTCATCAGAGGTAAATGATTAGTTTAAAACTTTGTAGTCCCTCTAAGCCCTGGTCCACACTAATCCCCCATTTCGAACTAAGGTACGCAAATTCAGCTACGTTAATAACGTAGCTGAATTCGAAGTACCTTAGTTCGAACTTACCGCGGGTCCAGACGCGGCAGGCAGGCTCCCCCGTCGATGCCGTGTACTCCACTCGCCGAGCTGGAGTACCGGCGTTGACGGCAAGCACTTCCGGGATCGATTATCGCGTCTAGACAAGATGTGATAAATCGATCCCAGAAGATCGATTGCTTACCGCCGGACCCGGAGGTAATTGTAGACCTACCCTAAAAACACATAACTGCGCTCTCCCTACAGTTGTTACTACAGTTCTAAAAAAAAAAAAAAAGGGCAGGCTAGTATGAATGGGTGGGAAACTAATTTATTGGTAGTAGAATCTAGGAGCCTGAGTCATGGACCAGGAGTCTATTGTGCTACATGCTGTACAAATACAGAGGGGAAAAAACATTGTCCCTACCCCAATGGCCAATGCCCCAAGTCTGGCAAGCTTTGGAAATTCATTCAGAGCAGATTAAACAAAACCCCAGCTCCCTGAAACAGCTCACCTTCAGTGTAGACAATTAAGAGGTTTCAACTTTTTTTCCTCCTGCAGGGCAGGATGTTGTGCACCTTACTTCCCCCCCCATTTCATAATTCATGCTTCCTGCATTTATATCAGGAGTAGGCACTTATCCAAGACAGTGCATGCAGGAAAGCTTACCAGTGCATCAGCTCCAAAACTCTGTAATACAGGAGTTTAGTTAATGGGAGAGAAAAGGCATTAGATTTAAATGCCTTTCACTTTTCATTTTCCTTTGCTACTACAAATACTTCTTTCTTCTACATTCACAAGAAAAGTAAATCTGTTGGGGTTAACCCCTTTACTATTGGCATTCTGTCTCCTAGTATGTGTATTGCTTTTCCTCTAACAGGATATCAAGCAGATAGTGGTACTGAGGGAGTACCAGCAAATGATAAAAGTATGGACACTCGTTCTGTATAAAAGATATTACTCAAAAACCTATCAAACAACTTTATTTTAAAATAATGTTTTCAAGTCTGAGATACATAAAACTGTACAAGAGGCCACTTCTCAGTTACATCGCACAGTAGCACACAATTAGGCATTAATCAGGGATTCCTCATGCTCAATGACATAAAATATCCTTTTTCTTTTTTAAAAGAATAAATTGAGATCATATAGGATAAACCTACCAATCTCATACAGTGATTTTCATGTTTAGAGTATTTTACAGACAGTGGGACAGATTCTCTTTTAAGTTATGCTGGTGTAAATCCAGAATAAATTCATTGATGTCAACTGACTCTTACACCTATGTAACCAACATCAGAATCTCCTTTTATTTCTGATTAATGGTAAGTCAACCTTTGGCCACATTCACAGATATGTTTTGTGATGGTAAAAATGTTTTGTTTAGTGACATTTAAGAGTTGGAATGTTACCGTATTATATTTTATTTAGGGGAAGTTTAAGACTGATGATTTATCAAAATGACTGCAATATATTATCTTACAGAAGCTCTTACTGAAATGGAAAAGCAATGCATATAGAAAGTTGGTACCATTTTGTTTAAAGGGAAAGTTCTTCAATGAAAATTCATATTGTACTTCCCAGTGTTTATATTTGCATTTTAAATCTTTCTGTAATCTTTAATAAAACAAATTATTGGAATAGGATACAAATGGACTGGAGAATATTATATGCAGTGTTGCCATAGCCATGTTGCTCCCAGGATATTAGAGAGATGAGGTGGATGAGGTAATATCTTTTATTGGACCACCTTCTGTTATTCCAGAAGTTGGTCTAAGAAAAGATATCACCTCACCCACCTTGTCTCTGAAGAATATTATGTCAGTTGTCTGCTCTGCTTTTGTTGCTGTTGTGAGAATTCAATCATAAATGATTGGTTGTTTTATTAAACATCTCAGCATATTCCAGTTGAATGAACAGCATTTATTGTATCAATGAGGGTGGAAAGATAAGGTATGATGTTTCTTAGGCCCATGTTTGATATCTATACCTAACTCGATAGTCAAATAGTCCTCCATGCATTGATAAATTTATTCAGGTTTTGAGTTTTCTCTAAGTCTGACATCCAGCGTGTTCTTCTTATGCTTAAAAGATCTTCAGCAAAAATAAATGTGTAATGCTTAAAAATTGAGCTATTCTTAAAAAAAAGAAAAAGTGAAACTATAGACCATATATGTAGAATTAACATACAGCCATGAGGTTAACATATGCAAAGACAGCCTGTTCTAGCAACCTATTAGATGAATTAGGAGAATAAGAAGGGTTAAGGCTTTAAAGGAGATTATCTTGCTCTTTTCCACACGCAGTGCTGATTAATGCTGTATGTTTCTTTTAACCTCAGGTTTTGTAGGTGAAAATGCCCAACCAATCCCAGAAAACAACATTGGAAACAGAATGCTTCAAAGTATGGGCTGGACTCCTGGCACAGGCCTGGGACCAGATGGCAAAGGGATGTCAGAACCAGTCAGAGCCATCCAGAGACCAAAGGGACTCGGACTTGGATTTAGCTGACAGAGAAGCACTCCAACTGCTGTACAGAAATCAGGAAGACTAACCTTAATTTAAAGGGAAAAAAGCTAAAGTCTGATATTGTATTTTGTCATCAGCAAATCCAGTTGTTGTTCACTTATGGAGTTCTGAAGCCTAAATGTTTCATGTTGACTACTCTGGCTTTCAAGATGCAAGGTAGTCACAGTGACAAAAGAGGTGTTTGAATCCTAACTCTGTAATGGTGCTAAAATGTAAAAACAATTGTATTTTTTTTATTTTCTGTGATCTTAAAACAAAGTTTGTTAGGTATATGATTCAAAATGCAATGCGTTTATTTTTCCTGAAAAGCTTCTCACACAGCAGATTTCAGCACTTGGGCAAACATTTTTTGGCACCATTTTCTCATCTGAAGTGTTCTGAGAGGATTTGTTATCAAGGAAAATTAAACCTCAGAAAGCTGCTATGTTGGTTCATTTTTCCTTCCTTTACAGGCAAAAATTTCCAAACTAGATATTTCTAGAAGTTGGCTATAGATGAGGATAGGTTAACACAGGGGTCGGCAACGTTGGCACGCGGCTCGCCAGGGTAAGCACCCTGGCGGGCCGGGCCAGTTTTATTTACCTGCTGACGCGGCAGGTTCGGCCGATCGCGGCCCCCACTGGCCGCGGTTCGCCGTCCCGGACCAGTGGGGCCAAACCAGTACATCGCTCGCCCGCGCCGTTTCTCGCCACCCCCATTGGCCCGGGACGGC